GCGGCCTGGCCGGGTCGGGGAAGGCCACCATGAACTCGCGGAAGTCCACGTTCTTGAGGTGCATGCCCTCGCGCGCCTCCATGTAGTCGTCCAGGCCCTCGTTCTCGGCGAAGAAGCGCGCGCGCTGGCACAGGTACGCGTTCTCGGCCTCCACGCTGGCGAAGCTGAAGCACTTGGTGAAGCGCAGCCTCGTGGCCGGCGCACCCTCTAGCCCCACCAGCGCCTTGGACACGTCGCGGACGCCGCAGCGCGCGTAGTCGAACTCGGCCTCGGCCACGTGCGTATTGACGCGCTCATGGTAGACCTGCGGCGCCGGGGAAGGCGACGGGAGTCGCTTCTGTCCGCTCACCCTCGTCCGCCCCATCGCTGCTCTTGTCGCCTGGTCAAACCCTCAGTCTCTCCTGGTTTAGCTCCGAGTTGGAGCCAGGTAGGATCTTACCGGGTAGGGTTTATAGAGACACTGAGGCCCTCAGCTTCATCAGTGAGTTAGAGATGCGGGCGGGGTTAGGACTCATCCCTACCTCTGTGCCTTCTCATTTGAATTAAGCCCTGCTTGGTCTGGGGGTCAGGCCCAGGCCCTGAACTGCCCCTCCGGCTTGCTTGACCCTTTTGCCACTGCCTCCCTTGTCCCACTCTGCTCCCTCATCACTGCAAGCAGCCTGCCCATCTTCCCTTTTATAAGTGTGTTTCCAAATGGGCCCTCCAGAGGAGCTCCCTGGGGGACACCTTTGCCTCCGGACTCCCTGTTCCTACCCTAGCTACCACCCAGCCTCTTTCCTGATTCTCACAGGCCCCAGGCTTTGTTTACCCAATACTGAGGCAGAGAGGTCCCCCTCATTTGGGAAAATCTCTTCTTCCTCCAGGGCTCTAGTATGCCTAATCCTGGCAGGTCCAGGGAGTGCTGATTGACACCCCCTCCATGCCTCCCATGCCCACCTCCACCTTTTTACCAGCTGACCCCCACCTCTGGGAGCCTCGGACTTGGGATCCAGGGTCCTGAGTTTAAGTCTAGCACTCCTACTTGGAAGCTGCAGACCTTGAGCAAGTCACTGAGCTTAGGTCTCTTTACCTGTGAAAGAGGACTCAGTAACAGCCACCTCACTAAACAGGTGAGAGAATGCCTGTGAGGCCCCAACCACTAAGCACTAAACAATGCAGACCCTGGAGCCCGACTGCCTGGGTTCAAGTCCACCACACCACATACTAGCTGTTTGACTTTGGGCAAGTTACTTCACTTCTCCAAGCCTCAGTTTCCTCATCTGTAAAATGGGGACAATAGTTACCTACCTCATAGCGTTGTTTGAGGGTTAAATGATTGATGTTTGTAAAGTACTTAGAGCAGAACCAGGCTGCTTGTAAATGTTTGCTGCTATTTTTATGGTGGCTGTTATTGCCCTCCTGTTGCAGTGCCCACAAGAGCTCACTGCTGCCTGTGCTTCTTCCCCTGGGGACAGTCAGGCAGGGTCCCAGCACCCCCTCCCATCTGGACTGGCCTGTACTCCCCTCCAGCTCCTCACCTGGGTGGTGGTGTAGGCATCTCCGTTGCGGTATCGGGTGACCTGGCGGGTGCGGCGGACATAGTGGTAGCTGATGGCCTTCCACCAGATACAGGGCGTGGCCTGCTGCATGCGGCCCACGCGCTCCCGCACACTGCTTACATCCACACGGTGCTGCAGCTCATGGCGGGCTTGGCAATGCCAGCACTCCACCAGGTAGACGGCGTACAGCATGAGCAGGAAGGCCAGGGGTATGTAGACATAACCGTTGGAGCAAGGGCTGTCGTGGTACATGAGGCTGTTGCCCTGGTAGGCGCTGCTGAAGGTGAGGCGGGTCACTGTGGTGACGTGGCACCAGGCCACGGCCCCCAGGCAGCCGTACATGAGCAGCGAGAGCAGCAGGCACTTCCAGTGGGACTCACGGCAGAGGGACTTGGTGAAAGAGGGCTGGATGGGACGCTGCTGCTCAGATGGGCAGGGAAAGGGGCCGGGATGAGTGGAGAGTAAGACAGAGTGGCAGGACCCAGCACAGAGTTGAATGCAGGGGTGGAGGGGCAGAGGCCGGCACCAGAGATGACAGGCAGAGACAGACAGGATGTGCAGAGAAAAGGTCAGACCGAGATGGGATCCCAGAACCAGAGATACACACAGAAGTGACCCAGAGTGAGCCATGGGGACAAGAAAGGGGAATGGAATCCAGTACAGGGAAGTGCAGAGAGACACCCCAAGAGGCAGAGGGATCAGAGCCAGAGATGGAGGGAGGAGGCCCCGGTGGCAGAGAAGACACAGATGGATAGGATGGCACACAGAGAAACAGGGTCCAAAGACAGACACAAAGATGGCAATGAGAGAGGAGGTGTGGACAGGGAAGACAGGGAGGACAGACAGGCATCAGCGAAGGCAGGTCCCCAGCCCGGACCCCTTCCAAGTATTCCAGGAAGGGTGGAGAGACCCAATGACATCACCTTCCCACTTAACAGATGGGGCCCTCCCTTCTTCAAGAACCAGGAGGAACAACTTCCTCTGACCCATCCACCTCCCTGTCCCTCACAGACAGCCTCATACCTCCCAGGAAACCCCAAGCCTTGTCTCTTTCTGCACGTTCTGGACCCCAGGTCCCCTGCGAGTCTCACTCCTGCACCCTAACATCCTTCCCGTGTTCTAAGATGAGAGGCAGGGGCCTTGTGTCCCTGGGCAGAAGGCCATCCAGGAAGAAATATCCAGAAGGGCAGAGGCATGTGGCTGGGGAGAAGGGATGTGGGATGGGGGTAGAGGGTTGAGAGGAAGATGTTTGCAGCCTAGCCATTTGTCAAGAGAAAACGATTTTGGTACCAGGGCCTGCTAAGCACTTAGCACATGCTGCTTGCACTATCGCCCTGATGAGTTGTTTACATGTCTGGCTCCTGCACTAGATTGGGTGCTCCTGAGGGCAGGGCCTCATTCTCTTTGCATCCTGGGTGCTGGCACCCACAGCCACATAATGACAGGTACTGAGTCAGATTTCTGGTGGCGGCCTGGGGTTTCCCTCTCCTCCTCGCCACTGACTAGCTTTAGGAACCCCACACACACACCCCTGCTGAGATTCTGACTTATTCTTTCAATTCCCCAGCCCGGACCTGAAGGCTAGCCAGAGGAAGGGAGAGAAGGGTGGAGAGGAAGGGCTTGGTAACAGGCAGCGGGCCCTGGACCCGGTGTGAAATCCAAGGAAAGATCTGGAAGTACAGATAGGTAGGTGGGCTAGGAAATAGTACTCAGCATATACAAGCAAGATTAGGGGACATGTGCCTTTCGGGGAGCCTGTCCTTAGGGGTGTGTGCATACCTACCGCTTTGTGTGCCCACCTGAGTGTGCTGCTCCCAGTGAGAACGCATCTGAAAGGGGCTCTGCCTGCAGGTCCGTCCTTGCCTGTGTGCTTCTGCCCTAGTGCAGTATGCAAGCGTGTGCAAGGGAGATGGGGGAGCCCCTGGTACTTTCCTTGGTCTCTTTGTCTCCAGGTTCAGGGGGCGGGAGAGTAGGGCCCCCAAATAGGGATATGCTCAGTACCAACACTGAGAAGGATTCCTGGGTTTAGGGCCCCCTGGGCCCGGGGGTGGGGGTGCTGCATGGACATTGGGAGAGAGAAGCGCACACCCCACACATACACACACACACATTCCCAGTGACCCCAGGAGGGTTCGCCTCGGCACACATTTGACCTTCTTAGAAGCCCAGCTCAAGTGACATCACGATTTCCCCCGTGGAACTGGCAGGCACTCTCCTGCCTCCGTAGCCCCTACAAGTCACCCTTCCCCGCCTTCAAGATAGCATCCTCCTCAGCCAGATAGGATCCCGGCCACCAACCATCCCCACCC